ATTAATAAACATTCCACATCTGCAAATTGAATATGTATATGAAAGATTGGTTTAGCTAAAAGTGGTGCAAGCCATGTAGGTGGTTTTGTTTGATCAAAATATAGCCTAGTCAAAACTGCAAATCATCTTCCTCTAGGACTTTCCGAAGCAGGCATAATAGTATTGATATGATATAGTAACTGGGTAGAGAATATCAATAAACATTCCACATCTGCAAATGCATGTTTGATAATTAAAATATTTAACACTTTTAAGACAATTGACGATTATGCACTGTCACACTTCTTAGGTCGTGTATGGAATAAATGCATTTAATTTATATTTAGACCTGTTTTACGATTGCTTTGGTTTTCACAATACACCTTTATTTGTCAATATCATACAGCTATTCATTGAAACATATATGTTTTTGTAAGTCAGAATATTCAATACTAAAAACAGAATTACTGTATACACAAATTAGGCCAAACTTTAAAATACATTTTTTATAGTAACCAAAACAAAATGCATTTTTCTCAATGTAATTCATTTAGGCTCCATGGCAAGAAATAGTTTATTGATCAATATGAAGCAACTGTTTCATGAAGAATTGTCTGTAGCTTCATTTAAATGGTTTCAACTAACAGCTGTATGAATGTTATTATTATTTATTGCCTTCTCTGCACAAATGTAAACAATCTGCACAAATGTAAACAAAATAAATGTTGAATATTTAAGGTTTTCAGAATTTTTCACCGAAACAAATATTATACTTAAACCTAATATATAAGGTACCAAATAGAAACTCTCCTGGTTATTTTGGTGGTGGAACCACACTGATCGGTAAAAGAATCACAGAGAAATTGGTGAACATACATAGAAAAAAAAAAACATCGCCACAAACAAATTGAGAACCTCCTCCTTTTGTTGGTAGTGGGGAAGTCGGTTAAAAATACCCTAATATAATGGTCATAACCAGTTCCCACACTCCGGACAGCTTGCCTTGACTACTTCCTTCATCACTTCCTACGTCACGGATCCGTTTTCCTCCCTTCCCTTATAATTTTTAGAATGCAGATGCCTAAATCTAATCGTCATAAACAGTTCCCACACTCCGGACTGCTCGCCTTTACTACTTCCTTCACCACTTCCTACGTAGTAGACCTGTTTCGCTCCCTTCCCATAGCATCATAGGATTGCAATGCCTTAATCTAATGGTCATAAACAGTTCCCACACTCCGGACTGCTCGCATTTACTACTTCCTTCACGACTTCCTACGTCACGGACCTGTTTACCTTCCTTCCCATAGCATTTTATGATTGCAGATACCTTAATCTAATGGTCATAAACAGTTCCCACACTCCAGACTGCTCGTATTTACTACTTCCTTCACCACTTCCTACCTAGTGGACCTGTTTCCCTCCCTTGCCATAGCATCACAGGATTGAAAATACCCTAATATAATGGTCATAACCAGTTCCCACACTCCGGACAGCTTGCCTTGACTACTTCCTTCATCACTTCCTACGTCACGGACCCGTTTTCCTCCCTTCCCTTATAATTTTTAGAATGCAGATGCCTAAATCTAATCGTCATAAACAGTTCCCACACTCCGGACTGCTCGCCTTTACTAAATCCTTCACCACTTCCCAAGTCGCGGACCTGTTTCCCTCCCTACCCATAGCACCATAGGATTGTAAATACCTTACTCTAATGGTCATAAACAGTTCCCACTCTCCAGACTACTCGTATTTACTACTTCCTTCACCACTTCCTACGTCACGGACCTGTTTACCTCCCTTTCCATAGCATTTTTGGATTGCAGATACCTTGATCTACTCGTTATAAACAGTTCCCACACTCCGGACAGCTTGCCTTGACTACTTCCTTCATCACTTCCTACGTCACGGACCCGTTTTCCTCCCTTCCCTTATAATTTTTAGAATGCAGATGCCTAAATCTAATCGTCATAAACAGTTCCCACACTCCGGACTGCTCGCCTTTACTACTTCCTTCACCACTTCCTACGTAGTAGACCTGTTTCCCTCCCTTCCCATAGCATCATAGGATTGCAATGCCTTAATCTAATGGTCATAAACAGTTCCCACACTCCGGACTGCTCGCATTTACTACTTCCTTCACGACTTCCTACGTCACGGACCTGTTTACCTTCCTTCCCATAGCATTTTATGATTGCAGATAACTTAATCTAATGGTCATAAACAGTTCCCACACTCCAGACTGCTCGTATTTACTACTTCCTTCACCACTTCCTACGTAGTGGACCTGTTTCCCTCCCTTGCCATAGCATCACAGGATTGCAAATGCCTTAATATAATGGACATAAACAGTTCCCACACTCCGGACAGCTCGCCTTGACTACTTCCTTCATCACTTCCTACGTAGCGGACCCCCCTTCCCATAGCATTTTATGAATGCAGATACCTTAATCTAATCGTCATAAACAGTTCCCACACTCCGGACTGCTCGCCTTTACTACTTCCTTCACCACTTCCTACGTCGCGGACCTGTTTCCCTCCCTTCCCATAGCATCATAGGATTGAAAATACCTTAATATAATGGTCATAAGCAGTTCCTACACTCCGGACAGCTCGCCTTGACTACTTCCTTTATCACTTCCTACGTCGCGGACCCGTTTTCCTCCCTTCCCTTATAATCTTTAGAATGCAGATACCTAAATCTAATCGTCATAAACATTTTCCACACTCCAGACTGCTCACCTTTAGTACTTCCTTCACGACTTCCTACGTCGCGGACCTGTTTTCCTCCCTTCCCATAGAATTTTAGGAATGCAGATACCTAAATCTAATCGTCATAAACAGTTTCCACACTCCAGACTGCTCACCTTTAGTACTTCCTTTAGCACTTCCTACGTCACGGACCTCAAGCTAGTGTCGTCATTTGATTATATTTATGATTCATAGCGTTTCTGTTCTAATATCTGTGGAATAATGCTATCAGCTATTTCTTCATCTGCTGCATTCAAAAGTCAACAGCTGATCATATGTCTTTGTTTATGTGTCAAATACTGCTTCCATAAGGATTACATTGAAACTTTGAGACCCAGTGGGGCGGATTCCTGAGAGTTATTTTTAACGCCATATAGATGTTGGCACTCAGCGATATGGTATTTATCACCATCCAAAATTTGAAAACGATTGATTCAGCCGTCTAGGAGGAGTTTGCGTATTACGAAATGCATAAAAGTCGACGTATAAGAGCTTCGCTCGCTTCGCTCGCTCCGCTCAATTATATTAGCAGGCCGTTGTTCAGTTTTCAGTTCAGGGTTTTCAGTTTCAGGGTGGGGAAAGAGAAAGTCAAAGTCCAGTTGCTTTGGAATGCAGTGGGCCTGTGGAAGGGTAGTGACGGCCATTATCAACACCCCAAGCACTGACGGGTGGGAAGGGGAAATGTTTGTTTGGTGATTGATATAATCTCAAGTGTCAAACATTGTCTTTAGTTGATGTTCATTATCTGACAAGTTTTATGTCATTTGTTTATGTTGTAGTAATGTAAAATGTGACAATGTTTGATTAAAACACAAGTACCAGGGGACCGATCTTGCTCGAGGTGTTTGATTTGTTCAAGAGGTAAAAAATAGAGCTTATAAGCCTACAAATATTTTCAGTCTTACTACGATCAATTAAGTAGTAAAGTCAATTCGTGTTCCTCAATTTAGTCTACAAAACTTTTTAATCTGGACGATCAATCTATAAAATGTCCACAATAAGCTTCAACCATTATAAAACTCATGATACATAACATCTGTTATCTGACGACCGTTATTGCATTAAGTCACTGGGATCGTGGAACGTTGCAACTATAATTACGGGATGGTGTAATAAACGCATCAATTCGTGTGGTACATCGTCGAAAAATACAAATCTCCTTGGCCTTTCCTTTAGATGTTTAGTTCAATGTCAGTGTATATTGTTTTGCAGTAAAACACTTAATGTTTTTGAACAGTTGTAATTATCCCTTTGGTTAGTAAGATCATACAATGCAAATGTATTATACAAGCAATTTTCAATAGCATTGAAATTGGAGGAAATCGTAGGAGCCATTTTTTAAATCATATCGTGCGCAATCTTTACTCATATTATAGTATATATTAGTAACCAAGATGTGATATTAAAAAATACTTTAAAACAACTGCCCAACGAACAACTAATTTCTACTAAAACTAACTTTATTTTCTATCAGTTAGTTTTTCAACTAACTAATAACTTCTATCAGTTACTTTTTAAACTAACTAACTTATAACTTCTATCAGTTACTTTTCACGGGACTAACTTATAACTTCTAACTAGTTAGAATTTTTGACTAACTTTCCCAACTATGAAGGTGTCCATCCAATCAGTAAAACGAGAATGGTATGTCAATTTTGATTACCGTAATTTATCTTTTTTTCATATTATTTCAACCTGTTGACCAACTTTGATTACAAAGTAGCTAGCTATTATCATAGATAAAACATACTCCCTCAGTAGATTTCTCATCCTTATGGAACAGCTGAAGACAATTTTGTTGTTAGTTCTGTACGGTTTAAGTAGAGGTCGTGTTTTGTTTACAATTTGTTTCCCGTTATTACAGCCATTTAAAACATCGTTTAACCAAATAATACGATCTAATCATAAACAATAACTTGTCCCCTAGTTATATAACCAAACAGTAAAGCACAAATCAAGAAATTAACCCTAAAATAATAGAAACAAAGTTTCGTTGACACTAGCGCCTTTGTGTCACGTACATGAACTAGACACGAAAAACGTGCTTCAAAATTTACAATGGGATGAGAAGTCTACTTGTGTTGGTTAGTCTATGCTATTATTTTAACTGTATATATTGACTGTATGGACATTTTGCCAAGTAGCAAACATCATATTAGGCCTATTACTGCTATTTTGAATAGATACTTTGAAGAATTCAGTACATTAGCTATAGGGTTTTTAAAAACTTAAATTGCTATTTGATTAACAATTTGTGAAACTGTTTACAGCCCATCCACAGTCAGAACCTGGTGTGTGCTACTGTCACAAGAACTGTATGGTACGTCATGTTGTACTATGTACACACCCCCAGGCCAGGTATGATTACAACAGTGAGAGTGACCGTCACAGTGTTGTGGTACCCCTGCAGCCACCACAGCCAGGCAGTGAGACTACCACCATTGAGTACTTGTTTGCATGCAAAACAAGCTGCCCACGTGGTATGAACCGCAAACCCATCATTGTTATTTACACTTTGGAGAACGAACAGTAAGTCCTCCAGATGTTGCAAATATGTATTCATTCTTAACATTATTCATGCTGTTGGAATTCAATGATGATCAATGAAGATATTTAATTTTTTAAATAGGCTACTGCTCTACCATGTTTTGAAGACTGTAGTTCTTTTGATTTGATGTTTATTAAGGTAGCCTTAACCCCTGAAGGTGGTATTAGGATCCAGCTTTGGTCACTGACATCAAAGAATTGGAAGTGTCCTTTATGGACAACAGTTTTAGGTATTATTTAGGGATGGACGGGTCCCGAAATTTCGGGAATTTTTCGGGAAAAAAATATTCCTGATTATCGGGACGGGATTACATTTAATTCGGGAATTTTTCGGGACGGGATTTGGTCCGATCGCCGGCGATTTTGCCGCTTCGCGAGTGCCGATGACGCCGCTATTGCGAACGATAGGTCCGCGAACGCAGGAGACGAAGTCGTTTTGACGATTGCGCCGTGACCGCGGAGTCATAACGACGATCGCACCGTGACCGCAATTATTGGACCGACGATCGTGCCGTGACCGCGGAGTCATAACGACGATTGCGCCGTGACCGTGAGTCATACCGACGATCATGCCGTGACCGCGAGTCATACCGACGACCACAACGTGACCGCGGAGTCATACCGACGATCACGCCATGACCGTGAGTCATACCGACAATCGCGCCGTGATCGCGAGTCATACCGACGATCATGCCGTGACCGCGAGTCATACCGACAATCACGCCGTGACCGCGAGTCATACCGACAATCACGCCGCAACCGCGAGTCATACCGACAATCACGCCGCAACCGCGGAGTCATACTGACGATCGCGCCGTGACCGCGAGTCATACCGACGATCGCGCCGTGACCGCGAGTAATACCGACGATCACGACGTGACCGCGGAGTCATACCGACGATCGCGCCGTGACCGTGAGTCATACCGACGATCGCGCCATGACTGTGAGTCATACCGACTGCGAGTCACAAGTTTCTACAGGTACCTGTAAATTGTTACCCATTTTTTGGTTTTTATAGATCAGTGCCACAAACGGTAAAGATACGGTAAAGATTGATTTTGTATGCCTTTTTTGGTAACTGCAATACTCAAGACTTTCTTTTTATGCACAGAAAAAAATCCCGTCCCGAAAATCGGGAAGGAAATAAAAATCTCGTCCCGTCCCGTCCCGAACTAAAAATTCAATCCCGTCCATCCCTAGTATTATTGCTATTGTATTAGGCAGAGTAGACTAGCTGTTATAATTGAATAGTTTCTAGATGCAGCACGTAAGTAAATCCATCCTTGGCAATAAAGCAAACTTGAGCTTAGCGGAGAAACAAAAACTAATTTTTATAAGCTACAATAATTTTTGTCTAAAGCTAAGAGTGATTAATTTTGGTGTGTGGGTGCGTGTGTGCGACGGGACTTGACCTGGCCTCCATCGACATTCCGAATTTGCTAATACTATGGGCTTCTTTGTATTCTCTTCTCCCAATCTTATTAATATTTTACAGGCTTTAAAGATTACTGTAAAGGTTATTTTATGTCCTAGTGGCTTTGTTGTATATTTTTTCATTATGTTAAGAGTACTTCAGTTCCTGGTACATATTAGTTATTTATTTATTACAGTTGTGAGGTCTTGGGGAGATTAATTCTACCAGTGAAGATATGCAGCTGTCCTAAAAGGGACAAGGAGAAAGAAGAGAAAGAAAAAGAGGAGATGGAAAAGCAAGGGAATGAACGTAGAGGCAAACGCAGAATTTCCCAAGAGAAACCAGATAAGAGGGTAAAGTTTGAGATTGCTGACAAAAACGTAAGTTTAACTGTAAACATTTAGGACTACGTGTCTTGAATAATCAAATCTATATTAATATTTTAACGGAATTACTAAGTAATGGATTTCTGAAGAAAAGAAAATATTTCTTCCTATTGATATGAAAGCTAAGCCAACATATCCGGCAGACCTAAAATGATGGGCCCAACTGGTTACGAGAATTATTTAAAGTAGGCCTAATGATATTTTGTATAAAAATAATTACAAGTTATTATGCATCTTACTTATAACAAAACAAAATTTCTTCTTTCATGTTCTAATTGGTTTTACATTGCTTGTCATCAGTTTCAATTGTAACATTGAAGTTCTAACTGTTTCGGCCATTTTCAAACACTTTATATTATTCTATTCCTGTAGTTCATGAAATACATTAAACCAACTTTAAGAGCATGATTGATTGTATTGATGAGGAGCGGACTCAGGATCCCATCACATCAACCGAAGCTTATTGTGCATACCCCACTAGGCAACTAGGCAAGTTTCCCTTGTCCATGACCAGTTCCGGGAGCTTTGCCAAATGTTAGCGTCTGGTTCATCACCTAGCTACTTTTGATCGTTCAGGGCTGTTCTAGCACCGAGTCTGTAGCAATCCAGAATGATTTGCGCGGATTAAGTACTTAATGTTTCTCTCGTAGTCTCCTCACTATCACGTTGCATAGAATGAGTCAGCACGGCCCACAGTCTAAACCCTGCTGGCAAGGTGCGGCGTATGATTCCTAGGAAAACACTCTGACGTATCACATTGTATTGTGTGCTCTGCGGACTCCGCAGGATCATCACCGCAACCTGCTGCTGTGTATACCCCGCAGCTAGGAAAACACGCCTTAAGTGAGGCTGAAGGCTGAGCCCATGCAGAGTCCCGCACACCCGAGAAAGGCTAGTTACTCCAGGAGGCTGCCTGGTATCCTGGAGCCCCTGTGCGAACTACACCTAAGGAGCCCAATGGCATTTCACCTCTTCAGCGCAGATCGCTTGAGTTAACACCACTGACGTTCGGCTGAAATAGAACGGAATGGAAGGGAATAGGGAAGAAAAGTTCTTTATTAGCAAGAAGAAGAAAGAAGATCCAGCAAAAAAAAGAATGCTGGTCATAGAGATAAAACCCAGAACCAAGAATAGGAGGGATCTAAGGGTTGGCTAGCGTAGGCCTACCTCGGAGTCGCCAGCCTACAAGAGGCCTCCCATGTAGTTGACAGACAACTTACCCTGAGGAAAGCTTCATTGATGGTCAAAATACACAACATATACATTTAACACACAACATTTAAATAAATACTTATAGTTTGTGTCTGTTTCTGCTCGTATAGGCTACCATGAACGTTGTGTATCCGTAAAAGGCCTAACATATTTATCTAGGCTGTATGTTGTGGGTTAAATTTATGTGTTGTGTATTTAAACCATCGTCGAAGCTATTCAAGCGGACTTAATGTATTTCCTGGACTGAGTGTTTGAAAATGGCAGGCCGAAACATGCAGCACTTCAATGTTACAATTGAAACTGATGACAAGCAATGTATAACCAATTAGAGGTTAGGAGTTTAAAACTTTGGAGAGTTTGGAACTTATGACAGGTAATGTAAAAAAAAAACTATTGTTGAAAATTGCTGTTCCAGGGTTACTTCAATGAATTTCTTGTTCTTTTCTGTTTACACTTTTCACTATCCAGTTTAGGATCCAGTCCGGGACTAAAGGACATACAATACAATACAAATTTCTTATCTTACTTATCTCTTAGTATACACATTACAATCTCACTAGTTCCTATGTAATTTATGTTGTAGGGCATTCTCCAAGAAAATAACGAGGATGGTATTAAGAGATCTGATATGGAAAAGATCAATCAAAGATTGGAAAACAAAATCACAGAGTTGGAAAATAAAATTGATAAAAAATTCTCAGAAATGGAAAACAAAATCACAGAGTTGGAAAATAAAATTGATAAACAATTCTCAGAAATGGAAAACAAGGTGTTGAGTGCCATCAATTCAATGGTAAAGCCATGTTATATGTAAAGTTTTGGATTACTTGAAAACTTCAGGATGTGGAAATTGAATAAGTGGGCTTCCTACCTAAATGACTAAGCATATGCAATAACTTAATAAGTTGTTCAGAGTTATTCAATATTCATACTCCCTTTTTTCTATGTAAGTAAACATGGAATCTGTCATGTTTAAAACTTTATTTCTACATGATAGGATTTGCATTTGCTTTTTCCTCAGCAAACATATTTATTTGCTCAACTAAAAAACATTAATCTACTTTAGAGCCTTTTTGAACAAAATATTTACTAAGTTAGGCAACTTGTGATAGCACATGATTTAACACAGTTGAGATTAGCTATGCAGCCAACATTAAGGAATTATTTCATGTAAACTGTTGACGTTTATTATTTGTTCATTCAGTTTTCTGATCTCTAGCTAGGTTGAATTACTATGTTTAGTGTCCTGTAATAAGCTTTTAAAAATCTGTGGACACGGATGAAACTTGATAGGTAAACAAGACTGTTTGTTACTGCCATTGTTAACTAGTAATTTAGCCGGTCTTAAACTATTATTCTTTTACTATATTATTAGTATTATTATTTATGCATTTATTTATATAGTAATTTCAAAGTGTTGTTATTCTAATATTCCTTGCAGTAAGCTAATGGTCAAAACCAGAAATTTTGAATCTTAAAACTTAAAAACCTTATCACACACCTTTGAATATTGTCTTTTTCACCCTTGATATAGTATTTATTTCATGCGCAAAAGTTTTTAATTTGGAATAACTGGTTAGGATTGATTGAATCGGTATCAAGAAGGCCTATCGATATCAGTATCTAGAATCTAAAAAAAATTGTATTGACACATCTATATTTTAAACCTATAATAAACTCCTTTTGAATTTCATAACTCGTCGATCTAATCTTAAAATAAAACCAAAACTTTGAAGAGATTAGTTGTTTTGGGATTTGAGATTCAGTTTTGGTTTTGACACATCACTAATTCCTTATAGGCTACCTACTTAATATTATGAACCAGTTATTGTTAGTGTTTCATACCAACATTTGTGTTAAATGTAGTAGCATATTATGTATAGTAGTTTTTTTTTTTTTTTTATTTGTCGCTCAAATGTGTTCTGTAGATAGGCTATCTTTATTTACACAAAGGTGCTACCACTGTACTTTTATCTTACAACATTTGACAATCTTTGGAACAAGTCATTTTCCTTCAGGCCATGTAATTGTGAAAAGACAAGATCTTTCACTCGACATATTTATATACATTTGTGAAAATCCCTATTTATTTAATATTTATAAACATAAACTGTGTTAGGTCTAGTCCTCTCGAGAAAAGACCCGAATAAAAATAGTGTCATGATAAAAAAATACAGTTGAATTCAGCTATAAATAATTATTAATTTATACATTTTGTTTATATTGTGTTTTGTTTTGCAATAGTATTGTTGCATCTATAACCTAAAACTATTAAGTTAGTTTCTTTGTCTTTCTATTTGTGCAACTTAATAATAAATACAAATTGTTATGATTGTTAATTTAATTTGTATAATGTAGTTTAAGTCTTTCTGTGTATATGTTTTTGGTTCTTGTATTGGAGAGCAAAATATTTGTTATATGTCTTGATTATTATTAAGTGTTAATTTGTTTGGTACTTATTGGTCTACAGAGCATCTATATAATAAGTAACAGTACTACAGTAACATATACAGCTAATTCACATAAATTACATTGTTACTTCAATAGTTTTCTTTTCTATGGTCAGCTAAACTACCAGCACTTAGCAAAATATTCTACAACTTCAAGGTTGATAGCTGAGTGAGCATGAATTATTCAATGATCTTTCAATATTTGAAGAATTTCATGAGTAGGCTAGGAGTTAGCCTTAACTTATGTCATTTAGGAGAGATTGATGTAGCTGGATAAAATATTGCCTTTTGTAGTTCAATAATGATCTGCCTTTTGTAGTTCAATAATGATCACGTGTTTTTAAAATGCTTGTCAATACTATGAGTAACATTTTATTCCTGTTATTTGTAATTGGCGATTCTAAAGAAATATTCCAAGCATCTTGTCTTTCCCAATTTCAGATTATTAATTTTGCACAATTGAAACTAACAATAATTCTATGCTCAATTAGTATAGGCCTAGCCAATAAGTAGATTATTTTAGTCCAGCCTAAAAATTTTCTCCTGCCTGGATGACAAAATTAGATTAACAGAAGTGTTTTGTTGTATTTTGTATATGCTGCCTGGATTTGTAATACTAGACGTTTCTTGAAGCAACAAAGCAAAATTTAATACCTCCTTATTTAGCTTCAGTTGTAGATAATAAAAGCTAAAATCTTACATAACAACCAATAACTGAATGTTCATTGTACAGTATTATTCTTGTTCGTACACTAACACTTGCATTCACATATTCTTTAATAACAAACTGATAAGTATCAACTATGTGATTATTGTTGTTTTTTCCCTTGTATCCAAGGCCATCCCAAATAAACTTCAAAGGAACCAATACCTACTTATAGTATTATTAGATATTAGCCTTCAGATTTAATTTCCTAAATATTGGCCTGCAATGTAGTTTTTTGTTAACAAATTCCTCTTCCAGAAATGCAACACTAGAACTAACTACACTAGGTATTTTTATACCTCTAGTTTATGTATAAAATACAGTAGCTAGTTAGTTCAATCCTAAATTTCATAAATTAAAAAAAATTTTGTTTTAAGACTTTTAGTCTGCAAATTCAGGTTATTATAGTGATCTTAATCTTAAGTTGTTTTTTATTCCATGACTCAAACCAATATGTATAACTGCCATGTTTTGTACTTTTGAAATAAATAATACAATATTCTCATTAATGTTTTGCTTTTACCTGAATAAATAATAGACTATTTAATATTGTGACATCAAATTACCGTGTGTCCATCTACTATAGGCTACTATTCACTGGGGTTTGATTACATACTAGTGGTCGTCCAGTGGTCGAAAACTCGACCAAAAACATGTAATGTTCTTGTATTGACTATTGGATACTTAAGTAGACATCCCATCTATATGGACCAGCTGTCGCAATTTTTTTTAAAGACAGTTGTGTAAGGCAGTGACCGAATGTGTGTCTTAAATTCTACTTTCTACCTTATTTTTTGTTGATGACAAAGTTGATGGGTCATAACAGTTGATATAGCTCATAATAAGTTTGACTTGGTAAAACACATTGTGTATTCAACCGAAATTAGTCATTTAGATCAGCGCAATCTGTTGGTGGCTCACATCAACTACGACGAATTTAATTTAAAAAACTGGTGACAACTTTAAAATGGGGATGGAATGTAAAGGTACAGGCTTCTCTATTTTCACCCCACGCTGTAAATAAAACATGTGATTGTAATTTCTTCCATTTGTTTTGGTTTTCTGTTTATATTTTGTTGTTATTTCGTCGCCAACATGGCAACCCATAAAGCTCATGTTAATATTTTTAAAAGGGATTCTGCACTTCTACAGGAACATATCTTTCTAAAGGTATGCGTAGATTTTCCCTGCGATGCACACGAGCTGAGAAAAAAAGTTTTAAAGAAATATGCTTGCCTATTAATATATAGATAGATATCACAAATCATAAAACACAATGGATTTTATACCATTAAAAAGATGAGATTCTGAGGATTCATTTTCATGTATAAAACATTATTGAGCGAGTATTATGTAGCGAGAAAGATAGTTTGAAAAACTAGAGAGTTCAAAATAGATTTTGGCGATGGAAAGTTTTGGTCACCTGACAAAAACAGGTTTTTTTGTCGACAATTAAATTGTATATACTGTAGAGCAAACTCGGCACTCAGAAAATTAGTGATTTTTAAAATCTGAGTTCAACATTGACTCAAGCCAGCTCAAGGCAAATCATCCGCAACTTGTACCAAGGATTTGTTCTACTATATCTGATGACTTAATACTGTCTTGTAATATAAATATAAATAAAGAAGGTAGGTAAAAGGCTTAAAAATTTTATTGTTTTTATTTTTAACCCTAGTTTCTGATAACCCGTCATTTCACAAACTCGGCACCCTTCCAGTCCACATTACGCCGGGTTTGCGGGACTCTACTGTACTGTAATATTAATATTATTACATATTCTGAAACTACAATAAATTCCCTACAATTCCCTCTGAATCTATGAGGTTGATTGTAAAAATTGGTTTTGAAAATGTCATAAAAATTATGTTTTAGTAAAAAATCTTCAAAATTGATATTTCTACGTAGGTAATCATATTTCACACAACCTTTACATTTAGATAAAATGTGTACAAAAATATTTTGTGGTTTTCTTGTGGGTTGCTTTTGAAATTTCTAATTGCATAATCCGAAAATTTGCAAACCTTTTGCTACTACGCATAAACGCATTGCTGGGAAAAAATTATATTGATATCATTATATTCTACATTTATCACTGAAACAGAATATATATATATATATATGTGTGTGTGTGTACTTATATTCACAGACAAATGTTCTGAAATATATGGCACCACTACAAAGGGCCAAAATATACCCGCCACTGGTGAATAAAATTACCGCCAGATCTAGGGTTAAAGAGAATTTCTCAAAGTTTTACAATCGTATGTCAATAGTTTGTTGAAATAATAAATAAACCTTAAATAAACCTTTTCTAAATTCGTAGGCTTTGTTTGAGTAAAAACCAACATTACAGAATAACACAAATAAATAAGTTAAATTTGCATAGTAACCAGGACAGCTGATCAAAGTGTAATATCAATGAAAATATAAATCACTAGCTGTGACCCGTGGGCTTTGCCCCGTTTAACTTCTTAATTTTCAAGATGATCTCGTTTGCATGGCTCAATCACGTCCTGGTTGAAGTTCGTTCGCTACGCTCACTCACCTTTAGGTTGGAGCTCGTTCGCTACCCTCACTCACCTTTAGGTTGGAGCTCGTTCGCTGTGCTCACTTGCCTTCAGGTTAGCTTGTTCGCTACGCTCACTTGCCTTCAGGTTAGCTCGTTCACTACGCTAACTCGCCTCCAGGTTGAAGTTCGTTCGCTATGCTCACTCACCTTTTGGTTGCAAATTAGCTGTTGTCATAAATGTAAAAGAAATAATAGTGCTGCACCCTGTTGGTAATCCTTGTAACTTTAATGCTATTGAACATCATAGAATAGAACCAACTTGTTTAATTGAAACAGCTGTTAAGATTCATTAATTCCATTTCTCATAAGGTTAACATGGGAAACTCGGGGGAGCGAGCTGGCGTAGTGGTTAGAGCGCGGGACTTCAGTCCCTGAGGTCCCGGGTTCGATCCCCGCCAAGTCACCAATGGATTTTATCTAAGTGATAATGCCGCAACCCCTAGGTCTAGCCTGAAGTAATGTGAAAAACAATCCCAGGCTCGTGCCTAGCGTCCTAGGAAAAAAAAAAAAAAAAAACATGGGAAACTCCAGAGCCACTGGGGAGGAGCCGATTGGACGGATCACGAAATTGATGGTGTATAAACCTATTCCATGAAATTCTACACGTATGTACCAAGTTTCGTGGCAATCGGTTCAGCGGTGTCGGAGTTTATCACTGCCAAATATATATATATATATACAAACATCCTCTTTTATACTTATAGATTACATATTCTCCCCTGGTTAAAGTTGTGTGCATAATCTTGTTGGTATTTTGGAAGTCTTTTCTCCCTGATTGGTCTTTGATCAGTTGATGGTAGATTTGGCACACTTTCACTTGTTTCCAAATCATCGGCTTCTTGAGAATTTTATGTCTGGGCCATAGCAGAGTCAGTTTCACCTCTGAGAAGTCTGACATCCTCTCGAGGAACCAAATGCTTTAGAGACACGTTTGATTCTTGTCCATTTTGATTTTGAACACGAGCATACTGAGGGTTAGCCTCGATAATCTCTACTTCATCAACTTTCTCGTTGTACTTGCTTGACTGTGCTACACACCATAAAGCTTTCTATAGGCTATTCATTAACTTAGGCCCACAAAATTCCTTCGGCTATTAAGTTAGCCCACATTGAACTCCAAGTCATTTCTTTCTTAATAAAGATAATTCCTAATTTGTGTTTTGTTTCTGTCTAATAAGGTAAGTCTTTGTCTTAATCTTATAATTATGAATTATTTTAAGAATAAATAGATTTGGTAAGTTACAATATATAATTTATTAATGAAATACAAATATAAGTTATTGGTTGAATTAGCTACAGGGTAAGTTAACAATGGTAAATTTTCAAAATGGTGGGGTTCCAAAGTGGATGAAAAGATTCTCTAGGCTTATATTGGGCTGGTTTCTTCTAAAGTACTAATTAATATTTAAATAGGCTATGAGCTCTTAATCCAGGGAGGGGTGGTCGTGCCGGTTCGAATGATATATTAGGCCTCTTTAAAATGCAAATAATTTAATTTAGTTATTGTTCTGAAATAAGTTAAGCTAGGTTCATGATGCTATTAATATAGGCTAATAATGTTAATGTCCAAAGAAAGATTCCAAATGGTTTCACTGAATTTATTGAAATAAAATAGAATTTGAAGATTAAATTTTGAATAAAAGTTCAATTTGAAATATGTATATATCTTGATGAGTTAGGTTAATTGGGCCTAGTAGGCTATGCTGATTAAATGTCCAATGAAGATTAAATTTGTCCTTAGTTAAATAAGATGGATGATGGTTACCAAATTTGGAGTGTCTGTCTTCTTATAAATTGGTACTCTTCAATGCACTTGTCCAATACTTTTGGATGATGAGAAATTTAAATTTTAGGTTTTACTTTGGGATTATGAATTTTAGTTTAAATTAAACACAATTTCCAATAGAATGATGTTCACACTGTGAAGAGTTGGCAGGATCTGGGGAGAGGCAATGGTAGAAGCTCAGGAAGTCCATGTCCATTGTTGCAATGATGCACAGCTGGTTAAATTTACATGAATGACACTTGCCACAGTAATTTTGATTTTCTTTGGATAATTTTGAAAAATAATACTATATTTAAGATGTTATTATTATATTGCAATTTTCTTACAATTATATATTATTCTAAATAAATGATTATTGTTGGTTTTTGATGAGTACTTAATAGGTATGGAGAGAATTTGCATAAATATTATATTGTAACATGAAATAGGATGATGTTTCTGTGGGGTGATGGGATATTATATGACATTTAACAAAGTTGGATAAAATAACACATTAACAAGGAGAAACATATTAAATACCTGATAATACATTATCAGGGGCATTAACAGACATTATGAAAGAAAATATATACAATAATAGAGAAATTAATGTTAATGATGAATGAATGACATGTAATATTACAAATTATCCCCACAGAAATCTGTATGCTATGAAATGAAATACAGATTTCGACAAAATATGAAATGGAATCATGAATCATTAATATGAATGATACTTACAGATAGGTATGAATAACATTAAATGATTGATTTTCTGGATGATAGAACATTGGGTGATAATACAATAAAATTATAATATAAATTAACAAATGTGTAGGACAATAACATTAAAAGGGGGAAAATAGAATAGAGTGTTCATGGCCTGGCATGGGAAGAAAGGGATATTATGGCTGTTGTTCCATACTGTTCAATACCAAATAACTTTATTGTTTCTTTGTTATTAAGGAGATCACAGTTTATTAGTAAGTGAGTATTGTTTATAAACTTTATCACCTGGGTATCAGTTTATGGAAAACACAATTTATGGGGTCACGCACTCGCGATTAAGGTCCATGGCACAATTTGGTTAGAGATGATGATGCACAAAAGTCTGTTGATGGAT